CTATAAGTTTATAATTGAAAAAACATAGCAAAAAAAAAACAGAGCCTAAAAAGAGACTACTGCAAATGCCTCTGCTGTCAAAAAACAAACCCAAAAAAAAATAAGAGAAGAAGAAAGAGGAAGGGAAGAAAGAAAGAAAGAGCCCCTGCTCTGCTCTGCCTCTGCTCGAAAAACAGAGCACCAAAAATAAGACAAGAAGAAGAAGAAGAAGAAGAAGGAAGAAAGAAAGAAAAAAGAAGGAGTTGATCGCTGAACTGAAGAAAGAAGAAGAAGAAAAAGAAAAAGAAAAATCGAAGTGTTGACTGTCGAAGTCGAAGAAGAAGAAGAAGAAAGGAGAAGAAGGAGATCGCTGAACTGAAGAAAGAAGAAAGAAGAAGAAAAAGAAAAAGAAAAAAGAAGATGACAGCAATGGTCGAATCCAAGTGTCGACTGTCGAAGAAGCAAATTTCAGCAATCGTCTCTTACTATCAACCCTAACCACATCACGAAAACATTTCATATTCCCCAAACAACCATTCACCACCACCTGCTTACGCTCCTGTCTATAACACCCAGCCATATTAACACCCCCAACCTCAATACAACCCTCCTCGAGCCCACAACAACCCGAACCCATAATGACCATATGCTCTTGTCCAAATCACTACCCACCAAAACTGACCCACTTATGCACCACGCCCTCGTCGCACTTTTGAAGAAAGGGGTCCCATAAATTATACCTTGATTGCTGAGCCTCTGGTCCAATTTTACATTTCCCATCGATCAGAGCCTCGCAGCGCCTCTCGCTACACAGGCAGAGGCGTACGCTTTTTCAGAATCGCACCGCAACAGCCCAAAATAGCGCTACTGCCCCGCGTTGCGTCGCCACACGCTATTAGCGACGTAGCGCTCGCTATTTACAACACTGGGTTGGAGTGATACCTTTAGGCCTATCTTTATCCCTCTTCCTTATGGTGAGTCTTTTATAATTCCTAAAACCCTTTCTGGGTTGAGGTACATAAATCATTGACAAAAATAAGGTTTAAATCCCATTTGAGGCAAATTGATACTAGGTGGTTTCTTCCCATCTCTCTAGAACCAACATTACTTTGGGGGGGG